CACAGCAACAAGGAGAAAGAACCTTGTGAGGCACTACAGGGATCTCAATGATCTAGGAATAAACTTTGACATGCAAGCATACTTAGCCGGCCTGAACCTTGCAGACTGCACCGACCTCCGATCGTCACTTCAGACTCCCGAAGCAAGGAACCAACGGATCTTTGTGGAGGAAGCCGACCGACAATTGTCGTTGCTGTCCTGACTCTTCTGGAGCCCTTCAGCTCAAAGAGAACGGGCTTTCATAAAAGGCAATGAGCAACAGACATTGTTGAAAAATGATCATGAGGATCTCCGAGAGTGGTATTCGGACAATCTTTACTCTCGCTTCGATCGATTGGAAGCGCCACCAATACTGTCGAACGAGAGATCGTACGGCATCTTCAAGCGGCAAGCTCTATCCAATGAATCACGCGTACGCGCGCTGTTTTGGGACCGGATTCGTACCTGGCCATCATACGCGATGCTACAACACGCCGCCTCCCGTCCTGGAGCAATACGACAGACACGCCGGTAAGCGGTAATCTCGTAGCGCGCCCCCGCCGTCGTCAGAGCCCCTTTTTTGCTCTCCAGCTGCCATGGACGGCCACAAGGAGAAAGCACATCGACGGGCCGCGGGGCACAAAAATGCCTTGTCTCGTCTCTCCGCTTGACCCGTTCCTCGCCCCAGCGCTCGCACAGGCTCGTGACGCCTGAACCCCCCCCACGGCTCATGACCGTATCAATCCTTTTGTGGCTGTGCCCCGTGTCAAGGGCCGCCGCCGGAAGGCACTCCCATGGCTCCAAAGTCCCCAGGTGTGTGCACGCTACTTTTGAGTCTGGTCGACGGCACACAGGATCGTTGCAGATCCAGAGCTTCTTCGCCCCCGCTTCCCGCTGCTCGACCCTTTCTGCCCGCCTCTCAGCAAGGGTGCGCGTCGCCTCGCTCCCGCCTCCATCAATTGCGCGCTCAATCAGGGGCAAGGTTGGCTTCGAAAGCACACTCAACAGGTGCCGGCACCGCTCCGGACCCGAGCAGTCGACATCGCTGCAGTGCGCATTCTCTCCCCAGAGCACGCAAACCACGGGCTTCTCCCCAGGGTTGCTCACGACAATCACTTGGAGGTGCGGCCCTCCTTTCCAAGCCTCCGCGTTTAGCCCAAAGAGTGCACCCCCCACGCACCCCCCTTGTTCCAAAGGCAACACCCAAGGCACGCCTCTCGTGACCTCCCGCTCGAACGGGCGGCCGTCATCAAAGGCCGTGAAGATGGCCTCGCCAGTATGCCACCAGCCGCCCATGAGACGCGTCGCCTCCAGGAACGACATGTCGTGGTCACGGCATGCCCTCTGACCGCAGAGGCACCGGAAGCTGCCCGTGTGGTCGATCTTCACGAGTCGAGGTACATTGACGAGCCCCCGATCCGTTGCAGAAACGTCCAGAATGCGCCCACTGCGGGCGTCGAGCAGGGGCACAAGAAAAAGGCCGGGGGCAATCGCAATTGGAGGGACTCCCTTGCTCCGTCTCAATTCCGATAGGACCGCCACCGTGCCAAGTTCTCGAGGACTCGGCCCCTCTTCGAGCGCTCTCTTGACACCGCGCCTCGACGAAGCAGTGTGTGCCTTGGGCTCCCGGCAGTACGGACATGAGGCGAGGTCCCTCCTCTGCACAAAGAACTGATAGCCGCCCTCGCTCGCCTCCTCCCCCGACTGTACCTCCCGAAGCTCCCGTCCCTTTGGAAACGCCTCATACTTAGCAAAGAGCTCCTCTTGAAGGACGGCTTGTCCTGTCCTGGTCGACGTGAAGGGGCGCCCAGCTTCATACTCAGCCTCCACGCATCGAAGGCAGAGGAGGTGCCCAGCACGGCAGATGAGCGCACCACCTCGGTTCCGCTTCCGCTCCCAGATAAACGGCTCGCTCCCTCAGGTGTACAGAGAGCCGCTGCCGCCGCAAGTGCTCCCGTTGCACGTCGAGCTCAAGTGTAACGATTACGACTGGTTAAGCCTAACCTCGTTCTCGACAGGATTTCGTTGACCGCGAGTTAGCGAAACGGCAGTGGTTACGTCTTAACGACGCACTGTGTGGCTGTCTGCAAGACGGCGTAATATCCCGGATGGATCGGCTTTAGTGAGCCGATGTCACCGTTCAGGATAAGCTGTATTCGGCTTTGCCGTTCGATGCGGCCAAGCATATCTGTGTTCTGCACAGCTTGCGTGGCTGGTCTTGTCAAAGGCAATGGACAAGAATGAGTTGTACGATTAGCCGCATAATCCATGTCGTATGTGGAGCCTGTATGCTATTCATGCATATCTTGTCACATCATGTATCATGACTTGCTTATCTGTCTCGACTTGTGGTGATCCTCATCGCGACAGCGCAACGTGCTCAACATATGTGGATTCAATTGTCTTATCTCTTGACATGGCTTTCTGATCGTGGATGAGACGTGATCAACCCATATCGAGGGCAGAG